GCTAATTTTCAAATGGGATACATCCTTCTAAAACAGGAATATATTTGGACTTGAGCAAAATGTTGATCCCGCTTATAGGTCACAGAGGCCTTGCCTTTGTTTTTCTCAGTGTCCCTATAACTGTGCCTGCTGTAGAATGTCAGCACTCAGTAAATATTTGGTAGTTGATTTAATGCCACTTTAAATTTCTTTTTAAAAAACAAAGTATTATTTTATACTGTTTTCTTTGTGACTATATAATTTGTATAAGTAAATATGTAACTCTGCACTTGGTCATTTCAAAATTATGAGCAGTCAATTGTACAGAGGCACATATTATTTTTAAACAACCTATAGACACATCAAATGAAGCTGGTTATTTGGAGAAAAATCCTCAGAACAGAAGTCTTTCTATATGAGAGTAGTAAGCTAATTTTTTAAAGAATAAGCACTTAATGAATGAGGAATTCCATTTTTTTTCTGAATTGCTGAACATTGAACACTTCATTTCTGTAGGTCCTCCCTTCCTTTGAATGTTGTGAGGACTTGCAGGACTCTATCTAGTTCTTCAAATTTCTACTTCACCATATCTGAGAGAAACGTATCTGGACTACAAGGCAGTTGTTAAGAAGACTACGACTCTTGTGTTTATTTCCCTATGTTTACACATTTACACTTATGGTTTACAAGTGTTTCATATACATTTATCGCTGATTGTACCAGATCTTGTTAAAAAAAAAAAATCCAAATCAACTTACTGAAAACACATGCAAAAATTTAAAGCATCTGGACCAATAGAGGGGAAACAAAAGGTAGTTAATGCCAAAAAGAAAAAGAATACAGATAAGTAAGCTACAAGATTCAGGCTGAGTTGGAATTTGGTCTTAAATTCTCAATGACAGGAAGAGAAAGTGAATAGATTTCCCCAGCATCAACAAAGCTGTTTCCAACCTCTAGTTTTAGCTTCAGGAGAAATAGGTTATGTGTGGCTTTTTCTGAAGGGACCTTGAGAAATGGGATATAGTGGTCTATCAGACATGGTTATGAAAATTAAATGTTTCTCCTTCATTGTTATATATATATATTTTTAAGAATTATTACTAACCTTATAGTATTTTTTCCCTGTTACCTAAGTAAGGAAAACATTCAGAAAAAAATGAGACTGATCTTCTTGAGTGCAAAAAGTATCCCTTGGTTAGTCTGTATTTGTTGTGCCTAGGATAGTGCCTGCTAAAAAGTAGATATTCTGTAGAAAATTAATTCAATTTAGTGACTTGCCCAGGGTGTCAGCTAGTTTTTTTGTTTTGTTTTGTTTTGTTTTGTTTTTTTGAGACAGGTTTGCTCTGTCACCCATGCTGGAGTTCAGTGGCACAATCTTGGTTCGCTGTAACCTCCACCTCCTGGGTTCAAGCAATTCTCCTGCCTCAGCCTCCCGAGTAGCTGGGACTACAGGTGCCCACCACCATGCCTGCCTAGGTTTTGAATTTTTAGTAGAGGCGGGTTTCACCATATTGGCCAGGCTGGTTTTGAACCCCTGGCCTCAAATGATCCACCCACCTCTGCCAAAGTACTGGGATTACAGGCATGAGCCACCACTCAGCCTAGTATGTGGTTTAATCAGCAAGCAAATGGAAATTGAAAACAGGTGACATTACTTATGAACAGAATGTAGAGAAGAAGAAAGAATGTGTAGGACGGAGACCTGAGACAGTCCAGCATTTGAAGTTTAGGTAGAACAGGAAAGGCCAGGACGGGGGATTCTCAGAGGGGATAGGGTGGTTGAAGCCAAGAAGAAAAGAGACATTAACAAAATATGAGTGATTAGCTGTATGAATGCTGCTGGGAGATCCAACAAAATGGCCGCTAGATTTAGTCACATGATGTGATTGATGGCCATAGTAAAAGCCATGCTTGAGCAGTTGTTGAGACAAAAACAAAGTTGGCACGAATTAAAGAGAAAGTGGGAGGTAAGTAAAGAAGGCTAGATGATATTTTTTTCATGAGAAATTAGGCTCTGGAGACAGAAGTGAGAGTAAGGGAGTGAGGTTTTCTGCTTTTGTCTTGTTATGACATGAGAAGTCTGAAAAGTAATTATGCTGAAATTGTGGAAAAGCAGACCATCAACTGGGCATGAGTATGGGAAGGGAGAAGGACCTGAGACTCAGAGTAACAAGTACAAGTGAAAGGCCAGGTCTCTCCTCCTTGAAATCTGTACAGCATGGTACATACGTGGTAAGCCCTTGATAACTATATGTTAAATATGTGAGGAAATAAAAGAAGCTTGAGTACTAATGTAGATGTTTTTGCAATATGATGATGCTCAGTTTAGATCCTTTTTATCCAAGAGTTTCTATTCTATAAGAAGTCAAAGTGAAAGTTTGCTGTTGAAAGGAAAGGAGAGGTTGGGATTGGAGGTTTGAAGACTGGGAGAGAGCATTCATTGGAATGTAGATCTTGGGTTGGTGTATTGCCAGATGGAAGCAAAAAAAATACAGAGAGGCAAGGGAATTGAACATTTTGGCAAGAAAAACAGAGAGATTACAAAGAGTATTGGCCTTTCTGAGTTCTTGTGAGGATTAAATGAATTAATATGTAATATAGTAAAGGACTTAGAATAGTGCCTGTCATATAGTCAATGCTCAGGAAAAGTTTATTATTATTATTATTATTATTAATTTTAAGATCTAAGCTAAAAAACAGAGAGATGTAAAATCAGGAGAGAACGCCTCTACTAAAAATTCAAAACCTAGGCAGGCATGGTGGTGGGCACCTGTGGTCCCAGCTACTCAGGAGGCTGAGGCAGGAGAATTGCTTGAACCCAGGAGGCGGAGGTTGCAGTGAACTGAGATTGTGCCACTGAACTGCAGCATGGGTGACAGAGCAAACCTGTCTTAAAAAACAAAACAATCCAAAGGGAGAGGCCACATTACATCAAAAGCAGTTATAATGCAGAAAGATAGGAGATTCTCATTAAAGGCTATGATTTCTAAGTTATTCAGTTAAACTGTGGAGTTGTTTTTAAGGATAAATAACTACACTTACACAGTAAATTTCAAAGTTTACTTTACCTAAGAATCACCTGGGAAGCTTGTTAAAATTTACATTCTCAGGACTTTCGATCAAAAAAAAAAAAAGCGATTCAACAGCACTGGGTAATTGGCCTTGAAATCTGCGGTTTCCAAGCCTCCTAGCCTGATACAGCCAGTATCAGTCTGACACGGCCAGTCCCTGGACCACACTTTGAGAACTCTGGGCTAGATTGTGACTCTGGGCCGGCTGATGTGGAGTGGAAGAACCAGTAATTGGAGCTGAGGAGACCAAGGAGGCCTGGGTGTGGAGTGACTCATTCAAATAGTTGCTGAGGTCACTCAGGATGGAGACCAGACAGGGTGGAGAAAGAGGTCTGGAGCCAGAGGGCAAAGCCACTAAAGAATGGGGGAAGGTACCATGAGGGGTGAGGAGCAAAAGGCTCTTCATGACAGAAAGGGGCTGGGGTGAAAGAGGAGACATAACCCGGTGGCAGGTCTCACCAGAACACAAGTGTTTCAAAAGACTAGAAAGTAAAGATCTAGTATTGCCTTTGAAAAGCAAGTCAGTCACTAGGACAATATATGAGGGAATATTCATTATAGTAAAAAATCAAGAGCTTCCATTGGCCACGTACTCTAGGGAGGAATTTATTTTGGTTAAAGTGCCCTGTGAAAACATTCAGGATATGGAAGAGTGATTAGGTGGTGGAGGAAGTTCCAGAGGGTACAATGAAAAGTGAGAAGGGAGAATCTGGATTAGAGAAAAGCATAAAGCATTACGAGATAGAAAACTAAAGAATAAAGTTGGCCAAAGGTGTTGACATTTTGGGTAAAGATGGAGGAAATAGAATGTGAGGCATAGACTAAGGTAATCCCGACAAACTCAAGCAAACATCTTTCCTCCTCACTAGACACCTCAGTGGCTGGAGGAGATATTTTAAAAAGAGAAGACGGCCAACACTTTTTTTTTAAATATCTTTTCTGAAATTTTTGTTGCATACATTATGGCACAATTTTTCCAAACCTTCTTATTGTCCTTAGTGACTCTGTAAATTCTTTCGTAGTATTTATAGAATAAAAAAGCTATTTAACAATTCTGTTTATTAAGTACATAGGCCCAAATAATTTATTAAGTAGTTATGTTCTAACAATTTGCTAGCTGTTTGAAAAATAATATATGTAAATTGAAAAAAGCCAATATTCCTATTGTATTTTAAAATCATATTTACTAAGGAAATGTGTATGGCTATTGGGCACTGAGCAACTTCTAGAATCCCAGATTTAGATTGTACACTATCATCCTCATTTCCTGTTCCATACTGATTTTCACATAGTACCTTTTTATTTAACCATAGAAATCACCCCAAGCCCAGGTTTGCAGAGATATAAAGAAATATATCTAGATCTGTTATTGAACCTGTTAATGTCCCCAATCTATGAAAGCCTGTAACAGAACTCACAGTGTCTTAACAGATGTCTTTGTGTTTTTCCTCAAAACTTTTAAATATCCTACCACACAACTGTGAGTTTGATTCGATTTGGTGAACAGTTTGGGAATTGTGGGTACTATGCTAAAGAATTTGGATATTATTCATATTATAGGGAGCCATTAAAGGGTTTTAAAGGAAGTAAACATAGCATAATCTTAGAAATATCAGTGTGGGGAAGTTACTGGAGGAACGTAAAACAAGAGGCAAGGAGATAAGTTAGTAGTTCATGACAACACTTCAGGAACTTACTAAAGGCTAAATGCAAAGTACTGGAGGTGGTTATGGAGAGAATGGTGGGGATATGTAGGGAAAGAGCCGGGGTGGTTTGTAACTTAGCCAGAAATTGACAGTCTTCCCATTGAGAAGTGTTTTGTCCCCTCTCCTTGAATCTGGCTTCTGTGACTGCTTGAAAAACAGAATATAGTGGAAGTGACAGTGTCAGTTTCTGGGACCAGAACAGTGCCTGCCATATAGTAAATGGCTTCTGCTTTCTGTCCTGCAGGATGCTTGTTCTTCGAATTCACTTCCTGCCTCATGGTGCTCATTTCTCCTTCTGTGAGGAAGCCCAACTGACAGAGAGGTGCAGATTGGAGAACAATGTAGATCTCTGGGCCACAACCCAAGCTGAGCTCAGCCATAGCAAACACCCATTTGCCAACCTTTTGGGTGAGCCCTCTTGAAAGTACCTTCCAGCCTGATGCTGCATGGAACAAAGATGAGATGTCCTCTACTTTGCCCTGCTCGATTTACAGATTCATGAACAAAATAAATGACTATTGCTTTAAGCCGTGAAGTTATGGCGTGGCTTATACCTCAATCGAGAAATGGTTTATAACCTCCATAGATAAATAATACAAAAGCTAAATTTATTTAAGATGATAGATGCCACTGTTCCAAGTGCTTTATGTGAATTGTCTTCTCAGCAAGTATTATTAACACATATTTAAGTTATGACAAAACTAAACTAAAGCATTTTCCCCAAGTTATATAACTAAGTGGTGACGAATTCGATACAGAGAAGAAGAGGAGGAAAGGCGAGTTGATGGTCACTAACTTATAAATTTGGGGTGTTAGTGGTGCCACTGCCTGACATAATAAGTAAAGAAACATATAAAAAGACAGGAAATACGGGAAAGAGGTAAATCAGGTTTAGGGGGAAGCTGTTAATGTAGCTTTGAACATTTAGGTAAGGATGCCTAACAGCAGCACTGACTGTATGAGTCTGTAGTTCAGAGTACTTAGAGCTATAGATATAAACCTGGAGACTATTAGAATATAAATGATTATTTAAATTTTGACAGTTGATGCAATCACACAAGATAAGAATGCATATTTGGAGAGTAAGAAGAGAATGAAACTCTGGTTAGGATAAGATTTAAGGTTTGAGGAATGAAACAAGAAAATGCAAAAAAAAAGCAGGAAGAAAACCAATAAAGAATAAAATGAAGACATTCAAGGGGTAAAATAATTTCAAATGAGGAGAGATTAGCCAATATTTTTAAGTTCTACAGAAAGACAAGTGAAATAATGTCTGGCAAGCAGGAGGTGAATTTAGCAACAGAACTTTCAGTGGGATGGTGAGACTGGAGGACAGTTTACAGTGGATTGAGAAATGAATGAGAATTGAGAAATTGGAAACTATGAAGGGCATCATGTAAGATTTTTTTTTTTGTTTGAAAATGACAGGAAAAGTCATACAACTAAAATGACTTATGCAAAAAGCTATCTATTGGCTCATGTCACTAAAATGCCCAAGAGTATTTCTGGCTTTAGTCACTGCTAGACTCAGCAGCACCAGTGATGTCACCAGGATCCAGTTTCTCTCCATTGCTCTGCTAGCCCTTCTTTGCTCCCTTTTCAGCTGGGCCCTCCTCTTTGTGTTGGCAGACAGCCTGTTGCAGCTCCAACACTAGGTATTTCCATTTTCCAAAGCCTTGGAAAAGAAAATCCACACTTTCTCCATTACTTCTCAGCCTTTTGGCTAAGATCAAGTGAAAATCCACTTTCTCAATAACTCAAAAAAAAAATCCTAAAGTTGAATCTGATTGGATCTGATGGATCTGACTTGGGTCACTTGTTCTCCCTTTAATCAATAATTGTTGCTGAGGTAAATCGAGTATTGATTAGACGAGGTTTACATCACAAGGAGGCCGGAGGGAATGCTTCCTCTGAGAGAATCAGGTACTGATTTCCAAAAGAAGGCAGAAGGGAAGCTAGCAGCAAAAACAGCAGTCATGGTGATTATGAACTATTATCTCAGGAAGCTTGGCTGCAGAAGCAAGAAGAAAGAGAGAACTATACTTAGAGTGAAATTTAACTAGTGTAGGAATGAGGAGAGTTTTAAGGAAAAGATAGCTGAAACAGGGAAGCTTAAGATGTCAGAGGGAGAAAGAATGGATAAAAAAGAACTAATGAGAGAGGAAGGAGTTGACTGCCTCAAGAGAACAGTTGGCAGAAATAGCTTTGAGCAGGAGGAGAGATGCTGCTTCCTTTGAGACCAGATGAGGGGAGGTAAGGCTGGATACAAATATAAAGTAGTTTTTAGAGGAAGGAGCAGGACATTCAGGAATGTTATGACCCCTGTTTTATCTGTGATTTAGGAAGGAAGGCCATGTGCAAAGATTGAGAAAGAGGCGTTAGCTAGGGAAGGAGTACAGTGGTTTCTCTGGAGAAAAAGAGAGTTTGGAGATGCAAGGCAAATTATTGGATAACACCAAATTTTAAAGAAAATTCCCAACTTAGCAATTTTATCTTTTATATGAATGCCATTAGAAATTTCAATGAATAAAACAGAACATAGATATCAGCCCATTCAATGGAAATTTAAAATTAAATTATACTAAAAATGAAGATTTTTCATCCACTTATAATCTAGCTTGGGGATTATGTTAGCAAGTAATCTTTGTTGGGAAAATGATTAATAAGTTTATTTGCAGTTCTGAGACCTCTAGAATCCTCCCTGTGAGAGCTGATCTGTAGAAGACAAAGAGAGTAGTATTTTGTTTATTTCCCCCAGCTTTATTGAGCATTGTATAACATGATGTTTTGATTATATGTATACATTGTGAAATGATTGCCAATGTATACATATCCATTCACGTATTTTCTTTCCATTCATCTTTTGATGGTCACTTTCGGTTGATTCCATATCTTATGTATTGTAAATAATGTTGCAGTGAACATGGGAATGCAGGTATCTCTTTGACATACTGATTTCATTTCTTTTGAATGTAAACCCAGTAGTGAGATTGCTGGATCATATGGTAGTTTTATTTTTAATTTTTTTTTAAAGATCCTCCATGCTGTTTTCTATAATAGCTATATTAATTTATATTCTCACCAACAATGTACAAGAGTTCCCTTTTCTCTTCATTTTTGCCAATACTTGTTATCTTTTGTCTTTTTGGTAGCAGATATTCTAACAGTTGTAAAGTGATAGCTTATTGTGGTTTACTTTGCATTTCCCTGACTAGTGACATTGATCATTTTCATGTACCTGTTGAGATTTGTATGTCTTCTTTTGAAAAATATCTATTTAGGTCATTTGCTTATTTTTTTAATTGGATTATTTGTTTTCTTGCTATTGAGTTGTTTTAGCTATTAACCCCTTAGCAGATGTATGGTTTGCAAATTTCCTCCCATTCCCTAGGTTGTCTCTTTACTTGGTTGATTGTATCCTTTGCTGTGCCAAAGCGTTTCAGTTTGATACAATCCAGTTAGACTATTTTTAGTTTTTTATTTTTTTAAGAATAAGGTAGAAAATGAGAGAAAAAGAAAGAATGCAAAGAAGACAGCAAACTAAGGAAAGACTGCATTCTTTTTGTATGATCTTCAAATCTTCAGTAAAATGTCTAAACTTCTGAAGTGATTGGTAAAAGCAGGTTTTGTTTTATTTTGTTGTAATACCTACTAGTGAAGGACCGTGTTTTAATCTGGGTTGATGCAAGTAGAATCCAAACAATGCTATAAACACGAAAGCATGGAAGCTGGAGATATCTGGGCACCACATCACTAAGAATGAAAGGAAAGGCTCAGGAATTGTACTACAGACTAACTATATTTTTTCCTGGAGGATATATTCACCAGTGAAAATATATATTTTTCTGTTCATCCTCTTACATTTATTAAAATAATATCAGAAAAAGGAATCATCCGTAAAACAAAATAAAATATAAAATAGATATTATTTCCATAGCATATAGCCATTTAGTTCATAAAAAATATGATTTGGGATTCTATGAATTTGGCAAGATGTCTTCATAATGTTCATCTCTTTGTTTTTTACCTTCAAACTTTTTTTCTTTCAGGAATTGAGTGTATACTATAAAACGAGAGAATAATTGCTGCAATTGTTGAAAATCAATCACTTTAGATGCACCTTACTTTGAGACTACAAACTACAAAATAGTAAATATATTTGTCTAAGGTATATAGATTACAATTATCATTCTATGAGCATTCTGTTTATCTGAGAAAAAGAAAGATATTTCACTACTGCCAGTTCCAGCTTTGGACTTTGGAAGACGCAGAGTGTTTTCATCCAAATTCACTACAATATTATTCTATCCTCATGAAACCTGCAAGGAAGCAGGGAAGGGTGTTGGCTTCATTCTTATAGCTCCTGAGATAGGGTAAGTGATTTGATGAGGACCACCTACCTGGTAATTTAGAGCTTCTCAGCCCAGGTTTGTGTAAATAGAAGCAGGCAGAAAGGTACTGATCCCCAAAGTCTTCAGGCAAGAGGAAATACGCACTCCAGCCTCCCCCGACACACATACAAATACACATATGTGTGCATGTGCAGCAGGAGCAGCTTCTGGTGTGTCCACAGCCTCCATTTGTTATTGTGCCATGACAGGAAACTGTGATGGAGGAAATTCAAATCCGATTCCAAGTGTGGATCCAGTTCCACCTCTGCTTCTTCAAGAAAACCCTGACGTTCGTTTCTTACAAATTAACTTTTATAAAAACACAACTGCTTTATCTACGTTTTCTTTGTTCAACACACACAATATTTACAGAGCTCTGCAGTGTGCCAGCTACTTTTTGAGCCAAAATTCAATACTTCATCATATCCAATGATTGATTACAAAGAACCAATGGGCACTGATGTAAAAATACCAGTGCATCTGTTTTGCAGTCTATTAGCATTTGCCCAGTCAAAAAAAATTCTGTCCCCTCATTATGCTTGACCTGAGTACCAGGTCTTACAAATCATCCCTGGTAGTGGCCGCAACCTACCATCTCAGTGAATTTCTCTCTGTGAGATATGATCTTGTTATTTCTCATATCCAAACCTATTTCTCTACCCACTTTGAACCTGGGCTCTAATTGTGACTTACTATAACCAATAGGATGTGGCAGAAATAATGCTCTGAATTTCAGAACCTAAACATCAAAAGACTTTATAGTTTCCATCTTGAGCTTCTTGGACTACTCTCTTTGATAACCACGGCATGGATCATTCCAGAACAAGAGACTAGTTGGAGAAAAGGGGCCGGTTTTCCCAGCTGAGTCCAGTGAATGGATAGAGTAGAATAAATAAACCTAGGGAAACCAGCACAGGAACTGCCCAGCTAACCCAAAGAAATGTGAGAAATAATTGCTGCTACTTAAAGTCAGGTGTTTGGCAGGGCTGGGGGTGGGTGGGTAGGGGTGGGGATGGGAGTGTGGGAGGGGGTTGTTTGTATGTAGCAATAGATAACTGATAAAGGAACCCTAAGGAGATGTTTGGGTGTCTCTGGAGCTGCCAATCATTGCTCAGTCTAAAGGAATCTTTGAACACCTGAAAAATCATAAATAATACAATGACATTTTTAGATTCCTTTCTCATATCATTGAGACCTTTAGATTTATTAGTCTTTTCTGAAAGTCACTTCCAAAGATGCAATCAAATATTTTGTTTTTAGAAACATTTCAATTATGCACCATCTTTTCCAAATGAGAAAAATATGTATGACTTAGGATTGTGCTTTTTGGCAATGAAAAGGCTATTGGGAAATGCACGTAATTTCTGAAGGGCCAAGGAAAGAATTTACCCAATCACTACATTGTGTGTGTGTGTGTGTGTGTGTGTGTGTGTGTTCAAGTTACCTTTTACCTTCTTCCAGGAGGAAGGGTGTAAATGATGATGAATTCATTTTCTTTTACATACATTTGAGCTCACTTAAGAATAATTTTACTTTATATATCTCTAATGCAGAATAATGTTTAGGAAAGAATTTTCAAGAAAAGAATAATGGCAAGTTTTGAGGGAGTTTTTTCCTAATAGCATAGCAGAAGGCAGCCTTGCTCCTGGGCTTTGTTAAGTTACATAGGTTTAATTGCCTAGAGCAGGTCTTTTAGAGTCAAGTTTACTAAAATGTGGGCCTTTGGAAGCACATTTTCTGGAAATACATGCCTTTCAAACATCTCATTTTATAATTTAGTTATGTCTGGACTCTGCAGTGTATGAATATTTTAAGAATTAAACTATCGATCTGAAAAGAAGTTGGTATCAAATATCCAATTCCTGAAAGTCACCCAAGTTAAGGTAATTTTTTGCACATTTAAATGTTACTACCATTCCTAACTCACTTTACCCCCACCCCTTGAGCCTTTTAGCTCTTAAAACTGTCTGGAAACCAAACCATACTTTAAAAATTACTTTTATGGGGGAAAAATGAAAACACATTTTTACTTTTTGTTAATGGGAGATGGTGCACCTTCTCATGACTCTTGCAGTTTCTCAGAGACCAGGAGTGGATTACACTACTTCTATTTGGTCTCTTACCTACAAGAAGAGGCAACAGTCAGAAAACCTTTTACTTTCTAACCTCAGAATTTCTTTTTAACATTATCAAGACACCTATATTAATGGCAAGTCCAATTTAACTTTGTTCCAGTCAATGGCCCCTGCTCTTTTTTTTTTTTGTAACCCACAAGAGTTTCTGTATTTTTATTTTAGCTCTTTCAGAGCATGCCTAGACTTTTTTCTCTCATCAGGCTATGGGGTAGGAGTAAAGGGTGGTGGGTACTTGTCAGAATAAATTACATTTTTTGGCAAACAGCTGTGTCTCTTACCCACTCAGGAACTAGAATATTGCCTTGTAAAACAGTGCAGACCTTCTATTATTACTTAATTATAAGGCCAAAATAAGGACACTGTTTTTTTTTTTTTTTATTTTTTTTATTATTTTTTTTTTTTTTATTTTTTTAATTTTTTATTGGATTATAGGTTTTGGGGTACATGAGCAGAGCATGCAAGACAGTTGCGTAGGTACACACATGGCAGTGTGCTTTGCTTTTCTTCTCCCCTTCACCCACATTTGGCATTTCTCCCCAGGCTATCCCTCCCCACCTCCCCCTCCCACTGGCCCTCCCCTTTTCCCCCCAATAGACCCCAGTGTTTAGTACTCCCCTCCCTGTGTCCATGTGTTCTCATTTTTCATCACCCACCTATGAGTGAGAATATGCGGTGTTTCATTTTCTGTTCTTGTGTCAGTTTGCTGAGGATGATGTTCTCCAGATTCATCCATGTCCCTACAAACGACACGAACTCATCATTTCTGATTGCTGCATAATATTCCATGGTGTATATGTGCCACATTTTTCCAATCCAGTCTATTATCAATGGGCATTTGGGTTGATTCCAGGTCTTTGCTATTGTAAACAGTGCTGCAATGAACATTCGTGTACATGTGTCCTTATAGTAGAACGATTTATAGTCTTTTGGATATATACCCAGTAATGGGATTGCTGGGTCAAATGGAATTTCTATTTCTAAGGCCTTGAGGAATCGCCACACTGTCTTCCACAATGGTTGAACTAATTTACACTCCCACCAACAGTGTAAAAGTATTCCTTTTTCTCCACATCCTCTCCAGCATCTGTTGTCTCCAGATTTTTTAATGATCGCCATTCTAACTGGCGTGAGATGGTATCTCAATGTGGTTTTGATTTGCATCTCTCTGATGACCAGTGACGATGAGCATTTTTTCATATGATTGTTGGCCTCATATATGTCTTCTTTCGTAAAGTATCTGTTCATATCCTTTGCCCACTTTTGAATGGGCTTGTTTGTTTTTTTCCTGTAAATCTGCTTGAGTTGTTTGTAAATTCTGGATATCAGCCCTTTGTCAGATGGGTAGACTGCGAAAATTTTTTCCCATTCTGTTGGTTGCCGATCCACTCTAGTGACTGTTTCTTTTGCCGTGCAGAAGCTGTGGAGTTTCATTAGGTCCCATTTGTCTATTTTGGCTTTTGTTGCCAATGCTCTTGGTGTTTTGTTCATGAAGTCCTTGCCTACTCCTATGTCCTGGATAGTTTTGCCTAGATTTCCTTCTAGGGTTTTTATGGTGCCAGGTCTTATGTTTAAGTCTTTAATCCATCTGGAGTTAATTTTAGTGTAAGGTGTCAGGAAGGGGTCCAGTTTCTGCTTTCTGCACATGGCTAGCCAGTTTTCCCAACACCATTTGTTAAACAGGGAATCCTTTCCCCATTGCTTGTTTTTGTCAGGTTTATCAAAGATTGTATAGTTGTATGTATGTTGTGTTGCCTCCGGTGCCTCTGTTTTGTTCCATTGGTCTATATCTCTGTTTTGGTACCAGTACCATGCTGTTTTGATTACTGTAGCCTTGTAGTATAGTTTGAAATCCGGTAGTGTGATGCCCCCCGCTGTGTTCTTTTTGCTTAGAATTGACTTGGCTATGCGGGCTCTCTTTTGGTTCCATATGAAGTTCATGGTGGTTTTTTCCAGTTCTGTGAAGAAAGTCAATGGTAGCTTGATGGGGATAGCGTTGATTCTGTAAATTACTTTGGGCAGTATAGCCATTTTCACGATATTAATTCTTCCTAACCATGAACATGGAATGTTTCTCCATCTGTTTGTGTCCTCTCTGATTTCGTTGAGCAGTGGTTTGTAGTTCTCCTTGAAGAGGAAGGACACTGTTTTATAGGCTCTTTTAAGGTATATACATAGGATTTTCATCTTGGAAAATATCAAAAGAGATTAAATTTTTTCTAGCTGGCAGTGGACTGCTTCTGATGACACCAACTCAGCAGTGCCGCATTTGGTACGGAACTTAGATCCTAAGGTCCCAGGGGGAGTTATGCTGCACATTTTCTTTGTCTACTTTCTCCTCCCCATAAACAAAAGGTTAATACATCTCAAACCTACACCACTAAATCACAGTTCCTATTCATACAACACAACTCCATCAGGGTCCCAAGAGAAGGGTTCAGAATGATTAATCCCTGACGTTGGCTCTTCAACTCTACAAAGCACTTCAGGTTGAAAGCAAGGTCTTCACGGCCCCTCCAAGGCTCTCTCATGTGATACGCATATAGTCCCCATTTCACCTGGTTCCAGTGTTATCTCAAACCCCTGACACCCACCCTAGACTCTTAACTAAATTGTGCTAGAAAAAGGATCAGGTGGTACGATCACGAAAAAATGGTTGCCATTTGGGAACGGACTTGGGATGGTTGATACATTTATGTAAGTCAATATTTGGTCACTCTACTCCACCCTAAATCTCAGTAATTAATTTCTTGTGTGTTAATAAAACTCTGGAAGAACTGACTGACAGCACCAAAACATAGGCATGATGGACATAAACCAGAAAATACATTTGATATTTTACAATGATTGATATTGGTTGGCATGCTAATTGGTGTTCAATACATTATTTCTCCACCAAAGCATGTTTATTGAAGAGACACATGTTTAGGTGGTTTGATATGAATACAGGGCTCCTCGACTAGAGACATACCCCTACTGGTAGGACGCTTTAAACCCATCGGTGGCTCCGTTTCCCAGAAGGTAGTGTTCTTCTCATCAGTCCTGGCAAGCTGCTGACCAGGTTTTTTATCTACACTGCCTTACCAGTTTTAGGATCAAACCAAAAACAAATTTATTTCCATATACAGCGTCCAGGAAAATGTGCTCCAGGTGTTGATAACATTTCTTTTACTTCTGTTTGTACTGGATTGCAGACTATTTGAATTTTGGAGGACAATGTGAACTTAAAATGAAATCTAGTCCTTCAAGTAAGAATTGTATATTTAATTTTATAATTAATTTTTGTTAATGTTTTGCTTTTTGATTTTATAATTAGTCTTAATTGTTTTACGAGAGTGCTGGAGAAATCTCTTAGAAATATAGCAAATACATGAAACAAAACTAAATATATAAATAAATATAATTTGTTAATTACATGTTTTGTGGAAAACATGGGCTAAACAAATTATAAACATTTCTTAATATGTAGTTTTATTTTATCCTTACAGCATCGACCCCATTTTACAGCTAAAAGAACATAGAATTAGCACCTTAAGTGATCTGTCCTGTGCTTAGAGCTATTAAGTGGTAGAGTCAGAGTAGGAGCCCACATCTCCCATCACATTTTCAAGTGTCTATGTTGAAAATGACACAATTATTTTTTCCTGTCTTTCTGAAGCTTGGTCTCTAAATCATCAAAGACATGGCCCCTATCTTGATAATCCACAATCTGCATGCTGGAGTGACACAGAATTAGTGGTTCTTGGATGAAGAGGGAAACACATGCCTGGTTTTCTATGGTATTTCATCAAGGTCTTTGGTTGAATTAGATATGACTCACAAATAATGAGCCAGGTGTTGAT